TTAGTAGCACTTAAAACCTGACCCCACTATTGCCATTTATGCAACCAGATAATGTACTGCTCTGACTGTATTTTTAAGTATTTAGGGAAAAACTCATATATAACTGAGCCGTACATATCACATAATCATAAGTATGAACCTAACCATGAAAATGTATATATACCGTCCCCTTAAATAAAGTGCAATTCTCCAAATGAAACCAGTCTTGTGCAATTCTTTAAATGAAACAGGTCCTGTAGCTTCATAATGAAACCAGTCCTGTAACTCCACAATAGTGTTCCAATATGGGCAAAAAGTGCTGGTGCTCTAATTATAATAAAGTGCTCCACTGGACAGTGCTCCTGTGCCCCACATAGATGTAAACTCACCCTGTATTATTGACCACCTATCTCTAGTATGGTCAACAGTGCTTCTGGGGCAGACCCCTTTGTCATCTTTTTCTGTTAGTCTCCTGGAACCATACTGCTTGGGAAGACACATGTTCTCAAAAAAGAAGAGAGGGTCCCAAAGCATAAAACCACACTAATAATTTTATTGTATAAGTATAAAGAATACACTCACATAAATGGTGCCCTATCAACTGGCACCCAGTATATTCAGCTCGTGCATGACTCCTAAAGGCAGTGGCATGATGGGACTTGTAGTTTCACAACAGCTGGAGGGCCGCCAGTTTGACACCCCTGCTATAGAGTGCAAAATCTGGTACAGCTCTGCATAGAAACCAATTGGCTTCCAGGTTAGTTTTTCTGTTGAAGCTGGATTGAACAAGCTAACCTTAGAAGCTGATTGGCTTCCATGCACAGCTGCACAAGATTTTGCACTCTCCCGTTTTAAGAAAATCGAATCCCTGTATGTCATGTTACAAGTCTTGCCATGCAATTAATGCAATTAATGCTTGCCAGTCTTCCTCTTTAAATAGCATGTACCAAATACATTTCATTCTGCATGTCTATCAAATTAAATATACTTCAACCCAATTGTACTTCTGAATTGAAATGTGAACTCTGTAAATAAAGAGTTACAGAAATCTCTTTCTAATCTTGTTTCAAGGCCGCTAGGTTCTACTGATCTAATTGGTTATTTCATTTGCAGAGAGCCGGAGAATCAGTCATTGAACCGTTCTGTCACTGATTCTGCAGCGGATGTCCTCAAAAGTCATGGCAAAGTAATGTATTAAACACAGAAATAAAGAGCATGGAATTGTAATGAAGCTGTTTTCTTCTTCCCTGTAGTATTCTAAAGGAGGCTATAATCTTTCTAATGTTGGTTTAGATACACATATAAAAGAGACCAACTTAAAACAATTTGGTGCTTAAGGTACCTGACTTTCCCCCTACACTAGGAAACGACCCCCACACCCTGAAGGGATGCTCACTACACCCATCTGGTAAAAAAAAAAAAAAAAAAAAAAAAAGTTTTCTGTTCCTCAGGATCACATTAGAGGTCTTCACCCCACCTGCTTCCAGGAATCAGTGTAGAGTCTTTTAGGCTACAGTTTTGGATTTTGACTGGCTGTATTATGGCTCCCTGTTTAGGACCTGCCCCATGAACAGAGACCCTTTCTCAGCAAAGCATCAAGTCGCAGCTTGAGACGGAGTACTTATGGTCGACACGCCTCTCCACCCTCACCGCCATCAACATATTATCTTCTGAACCCGGGCACGATAAGCCCTGCATGAGGAAGGAACAAACAGAGGGTGCACAGGCCTAGTGCATTACCATAAAAAATGTTTAATAAGAAATAAAGTAGGTGTTGTACTCACAAACAACAATAAAGTCAAGGCACATCATAAAAGAACAGCTGGGTCAACACCACGCTGAGTAACAGTCCGCAATAGGGAGTGTAGACATTCAATACTGATGCATTTCGAGGACTTGCCTCTTCCTCAGAGCCACAAGAGGCAAGTCCTCGAAACATGTCAGCCTATCGGATGTCTACACTCCCTATTGCGGACTGTTACTCAGCGCGGTGTTGACCCAGCTGTTCTTTTATGATGTGCCTTGACTTTATTGTCGTTTGTGAGTACAACACCTACTTTATTTCTTATTAAACATTTTTTATGGTAATGCACTAGGCCTGTGCGCCCTCTGTTTGTTCTTTCCTCATTCAGTATATTTGGATTCCCCCGGTCTATTTGAGGGCAGCAAGGTGTGCATGTTCCAGGACATTCTTAATGTGGTTGTAGCCTGCATTGAGTCCATCCCCAAGCGCAGGAGCATTTGTGTTTGATGATAAGCCCTGTACTGGATAACTAGTCTGTTAAGTAATATCTTAATTGTTATCTTGAGAGTTTAGGATGATTAAGCAATTCTCGTTTGGTTATGTTCCTGTATGAAAAGCTATGTTTCTTTTTGTATTTTTAACAAACCCAAGTTTCTGAAATGTCTCTCCAATATTATTGTAATTTACAAAATTTGAATAAAGATTCTTATTAAAAAAAATAAAATAAAATTTGGTGGATAAAAAATATGCTGTCAGGTATAAGGTGCAGGCATCTCCATTCCCCTGCTCGTGTGACCAAATCACTGGATATTCTGGTTGGCAAAGTTCCAACACTTATTACTAGTGTTGGTGCTTGTCCCTTTTTTACTGTCTACTGTACATTCTTATTGGTCATTCGGGCAGCCCAGTGATAGGTCGATAGAAATATGTCATAGTGGTACAGACTGGCAAGCTCTAAGGGAAGCAGGACTTTGAGGCTGCTTCAGCTCTGGGTGCCTATTATTGATAGCAGCCTTTCTCAACCTTTTCAATGCAGAGGAACCCTTGAACTTTCCAGTCTCAGTGAACCCCTCCTAAAATGACTTTATCTACAATTCATGATACATTAGTGTGATAGTCAGAGGTAAGAATGCTCCTTACACTTGTGGTCATTGGGAAGAATTACACCCTTACAGATAGCTAAAAAGATCAATAGTGTCAGTGGGAACTTAAAAATTGCTCATTGCTTAAGGAACCCTAGGGTTCCACGGAACCCTGGTTGAGAATTCCTGATTTATACCTTTTATACCTGCTAATAAATATATTTTTTTTATAGTGAATGGGAACAAGGGCCTCTTGCCTACATCCTTGGCGTGGTAAATATGGAGATCCATAAGGAGGAAGCAATATTGGAATCCATATAAAATAAGGGGGACCCTGAATATTCACCCCCCTACACGAATGAGTGAAGGGTACTTCTGGTTACTTATAGAAATGATACATAGTATATAAACAGACACACCATACATAAAGTCCTTTATATAAAATAATAATAATAAAATAATGTCCCGGAAAGTATATGTCCCATAACAATCCTTTTTATTTTAGGTGTCGCACACCCCGTGATTTTGCTCGCATGATTGCGGCATGTTTGCCGTGCGGAAAAACGTGCAGCGATCGCGGAAAAAAAAGCCCTGCGTTTTCAGGTGCCATTGAAATGAATGGTACCTCAACACGCGATCGTGCGCTTTCACACGCGGTTTCAAATCGCGATTCCGCCAGCTATTTGAAATACCCTAGTGTGAATGGAACCTTACACATCATGTTTGCAGGGCAGAAAGGGTTTTTTTTTTTGGTAGCAGAGGGCACAACTTAACATGATAGTGAATAACAAAATAGCTAAAAATCCAAATGACATTGCATTTATATACAAGAACATTAGATGCTTGTGAATGCATTACTAGGGAGAAGCGGGACAGAGTTGAAACACCTCTGCCCTGGTCTCCATACTCAGATAAAGTAATGTCAGATTCTTCCTGATGTAAACACAATGCAGACACATTGAGGAAAATTTACTAAAATCTGGTGCAGCTCTGCATAGAAACCAATCAGCTTCCAGGTTTTATTCTCAAAGCTTAATTTAACAAGCTGAAGTTAGAAGCTGATTGGGTATCATGCACAGCTGCACCATGTTCTGAGTTCTCTAGTTGTAGTAATTTTTCCCCATGATGTTTACATTGATCAGCTAGAAGAACTCCTATGGAGTGATACATAGCACAATCAAAATCCCAGGAGTGGATTCAACTCCTGGCCTTAGTGCTGGATGCTGGCTGCCACAGGCAGCCGACTGCTCCAGCGCCGGGACCCAAGCAAATCACTGAAACTATTGCATTCTATGTGATGGGGAGAACCCCTTTCAGAATAACCTGCTATAGAAGAACTTTTTAATAAAAGTAGACAGAAAATACCTAAAAATGCATAGAGAGTTGGGGAATGAGTTTTTAAAGCTCCACATTTGAAGCTAAATTCAAACCAGCATTATTTTTTACACTTGCACACTTTGTACATGTGCACAAAGTAAGGGATTTTGTAGGATTAGAGTCAGTATTACAGTCAGGTGTATGATTAACAAATTATTCCAAAGAGGTGCTTGATGATCCTTAGGTTTAAATACAGTCATTACCTCAAACAGAAATAACTGTGTAGGAAGCTTAAAACTGAGTGAGGAACAGCCAAACTCTGCTACTAAGGTGAGGTTGTGGAAGACCGTTTCATGTCACAGGTCATACACCATGACAAGACTGAGTACAGCAACAAGACACAAGGTAGTTATATTGCATCAGCAAGGTCTCTACCAGGCAAAGATTTCAAAGCAGATTGGGGTTTCAAGATGCTGTTCAAGATCTTTTGAAGAAGCACAACGAAACAGGCAATGTTGAGGACCGTAGACACACTGGTCAGTCAAGGAAACGTAATGCAGCAGATGAAAAACATATCATGCTTACTTCCCTTCACACTTGGCACAATGCAGTCAGGCAAGTACTGTTCCCCTGGCAACTGCCAAACCCAGACACATCCATTGGATTGCCAGACAGAGAAGCGTAATTAGTCTAGATTGCTCTGGAGTCCAGTTGCGGCGTGCTTTACGCCACTGCATGCAACACTTTGCATTGCACTTGGAGATGTAAGACTTGGATGCAGCTGCTCGGCCATGGAAACCCATTTCATGAAGCTCTCTATGCACTGTTGTGCTAATCTGAAGGCCACACGAAGTTTGGAGGTCTTTAGCTATTGACGCTGCAGACAGTTGGCGACTTCTGCGCACTGTGCGTTTCAGCATGCGCTGACCCCGCTTTGTCATTTTACATGGCCTACCACTTCATGGCTGAGTTGCTGTTGTTCTCAGTTGCTTCCATTTTGCTATAATGCCACTAACAGTTGACCGTGGAATATTTAGTAGAAAGGAAATTTAACTGATGGACTTATTGCACAGGTAGCAACCTATCACAGCACCACACTTGAATTCACTGAGCTCCTGAGAGCGACCCATTCTTTCAAGAATGTTTGTAGAAGCAGTCTGCATGTCTAGGTGCTTGATTGTATACACCTGTGGCCATGGAGGTGATTGGAACACCTGAATCCAATGATTTGGAGGGGTGCCCCAAGACGTTTGGCAATATAGTGTGTATATATATGTAAAAATTAATGGATACAGTTTAATTACATTTTAAATAGGAAGCTATAAGGTTTGCATTTGTCTCATTGCTAAAACTTATTTTCCAATATTCACACTAAGAGCTTTAGGAAAATGTGAAAACCACAGAAAAATGAATGTTTTAAGTGGAAACAATTTTATAAATCAACAGGATAATAGATTAATTTAAGCGTCAGGGGATTTGAATTCATTTTTTTTAAATGCATTTGTATTTACATATTAATTTGATGGAAAAAAAATAGAGCACATCATTTTCACGCTTTACATCTCACATTGTGCTTTATTTTATTGCTTATAAACAAAGTCTTTGGAATAATAGAGATTGGAAACCATCTTAGAAGCTGCTCAATGTAGTTGTGTCTCTAGAGCCAGCTAGACACCGAGTATAATAATGAGTTTGACACTGAAATGTACTGGCAGTGTAATTTGACCATCAATCAATGTCAGCTACAGAAAATACAACGTTTGTACAGCTGGAAAGCCAGATGTAACCTGAATCTATTGTCTACGCCACTTCTTGATATATTTCTAATAAATGTTAATGGCCCTTTAAGGATGCTTCTGCATATACAATCAGGATTCTGCCTGCTTAGTTCTCTTCAACAATAATATCTGATTTGGAGAATTTGTTTGGAGCTGGTCTTGGCAGAAAATACATGGCATTGGAAGGGATTCAGTTTCATAAATACTTCCTCCTTTTATTTTATGACAAAAATGGAAGACACACAGCAGATGTATGTAATTTCTCAGGCTGGGCTTTGTGATCCGGTTTAACTGATATAAAAATAGATTCATTTCCTTTTAGTTCTAATTTAGTCCACAATGACCATGGAGTACCATAATGTAAGAATTCGGAACTTCAATCAAAGAAGCAAGGTTCTGATTTGGGCAACTTGGAATTGGAAGGGCTTATTTGAAATTAAAGTAAACCTGTCCTTGGGGATATACAGAAAGTGCCTTTGCTGATCTTTCCTTTTGAAATTGCTAGCTGTCAGAAAAAGAAAGAGTCTGGGTAAGTGAAAGTGTAAAGGCACCAGATTGTGAAGATTTGGACACAAGCTATTTCACTTGTTTTTTTTTATTTGCTCTATTATCCATAAAATTAGCCAGTGCATTTGGGTGTCTTAAAGTGTTCCCTTCTTCAGGACTTGGCTTGCCAAGCACTGACAGATGAACTAGTTGCTGACAAATGTAAATGTATACACGATTACAGGTGCTGCCGAAATATGAGCAAGCAAAACTTGATGAGGCAGTCCTGTTTTTGGCTTGCTTTATTGCTAAAACCTATACACTTAAGACCCCTGGAACTTGTCAGTTAGTTTCATGAATGAAGTAACAAACAAATAAAGGCATAATTATAAAATGTTATCTCCAGATTTTTGCATTTTGGAGCTGCTATATCTTCACTTACCAGGTCCTCGTCAGCCCCCCGCTCTTCCCTGATGACGTAGGACACAAGTGCCGGCTACAGAGAATGGAGATCTCAGCGGGAAAAAGCTAGATCCACTGGGTGGATGAGTATCCTTCCTGTGGAGAACGCCACATCAAGTAGGCAGGGGAAAAAAAAAATTTTTTGGGGGGTAGGGTAAAGTTCCGCTTTAATGTAAGGAGAGCACACGTGCCGGCGCAGTACAATCCACAGGAATAGTTGCTCATATTAGAGAATTTATTATTTCATACATGACTCAGGGGCTGAAGGAATTCATCTTCCTACACTTATCAAGTGCAATCAAATACCTATGATGGAGAGGAAATCCCTACACTAGAAGATGCACATTATATGTATGACCTTAACGTTTCAAGACAAGGCTACATACCACCACTAGAAGACAATGTCAATATCACCCAAGAAATTCTTTTTATTTCTCAAAACTTGTGGGTAACGTTCCTTCACATAGAGAGTCCCACCAAGAGCCCTGAAGACTTACAGTTCAGAGGTGCAGTTCAGCTGCAGATCTATCCACCAACATTCAAGCTTGCATGACTGACAGCTTAAGCAATTCCCCAGGAATCTTGCTAGCAGTCAGCGGCCTGTGAAATTCAAAGTCTTCCATGTCAGTCTTCACACAAGAATATTCTCCACTTCACGGGTTGAATGAAGAGACTCTTGAGGACAGAATCATCCAGAATTCCTTCAGATCAACAAGAGAGACTTTTCCATATCTGCCTTTAAGAGATTGCATGTTGTGCTGTCCTACTAACTGTTAGCCGACAGCTAGCTAACAAAACCGACAGAAGTAGCGTTGTGTTTCATTCCAAAACCGAATTTACTTCTGTGAATGGTTCTGTAAAACTGCAATACAATCACATAAGCTGAAATTACAATATTCTTGCACACATCTCTCACAAATGCATACAATGAACACATTTCTTACAAACTACCTACAAATCACGTTGAATATATTGAAATGTGATCTAGCTATGTATGTGACTTTAACAAACACAATGAAAGAACTTACAGGTGTATGTGTATCAAAGGGAGAATAGAGGAGACCTTCACCGGTGTTCTTCTAGAAGCTAAAAAGGCTGCAGTGGTTTATGGGAGATCTTTATTTTTAACAAACATGAAACACTTTCTGTTCTTGTTGAAGGCAATAGTAAAAATAGGCGCAGTTGCAGTGAACACCCAATAGATAGCTCCCTACATAGTACAATGATGATATACAACACACATACTTTGGAAAAGTGACTTAATGCCTTTAGGGACTGTTTCAGGTATCAAGACTGCAAAATCAAAGATAATCCCAGATTTCATTTGATGTTTTTGTAATTGTGTATACAGTATATGTTTGCATGTTTTTTCTCTTTTATATTCAATCCAGGTCCAGAGGATAAGATAGCTACAGTCACCGAGTTGTATTGTGTTATAGTAAAATCAACAGTGTTAGTGTTCTACCCCATTTGAACTATATTAGGTTACTATTGTTCTTTTGTACACTGACACCAAGTAGGTTTAGGGCTATTACAACAAGTTTACTGATGTGATTTGTTATCTCCCTTTGTCCTCCCCTTCTGTCTAATTCTAGTTAGTTCATTCCTAACTAGACCCTCCCTGTTTCTTCCATGTTCCCTTAGTTAGTGTTAGTTTTTTGCGGAGAGAGGGCTCAGGAAAGTCATTGCCTTTTTATGTTTAAAAAAACTGGAAATACAACCTCTGTACTGCACTCACAAGAAATAAAATTGCATTGAATTCAGCTTTTGTTTGTTATTTAAAAAATAGAATGTGCTAGGTCAACAGGTGATCATACTGTCTGGACAGACTGGGTCTGTGAAGGTGTGTCATAAACCCAGTCTACATAGAGCAAGATTTGAAACAGAACAATTGAGGAAATGAACAATTTTCTTTCTCTTGTTTGTAAATTAGAAAAGTATTTCTGCATAAAAATCAGACTGTGGATTGTCTCAAGTAGCATATGATAAAATAAACACCTGACAAAAGGACAGGTCTTTTACAGGTGTACAAGGCAGCATTATGTCCAAATACAAGCCTGCAAAAAAAAAAAAACTTTGCTCTCTGCCTTTTAGATCAACATTATAGAACATGTAAGTGTCTAAATCAGCATAATAGCCCAGCAACTAACATTTTCAGAAGGACATTAGCAATTAAAGCCCCAATATTCCTCTCCTGACAGGTTAAAGCTGAACTTCCAGCAGAATGAAAAAAACTGTCATTCAGTTATATATTCATTAACCACTTGCCTACCGGGGCATTATACCCCCTTCCTTACCAGGCCAATTTTCAGCTTTCAGCGCTGCCGCACTTTGACAATTGCGCAGGGTCATGCAAATTGTACCCATATGAAATTTTGATCATTTTTTTCTCACAAATAGAGCTTTCTTTTGGTGGTATTTAATTGCCACTGGGCGCTTTAACTTTTTGCGCTATAAATTAAAAAAAGTGCAAAAAATTTGGAAAAAAAAAAAAAAAGTTTATTTGTTTCTTTTATAAAATTTTTCAAACAGGTATTTTTTTCTCCTTCAACTGATTTGCGTTGATGAGGCGGCACTGATGGGCACTGATAGGCGGCACTGATGGGCACTGATAGGCAGCACTAAAGGGCACTGATAGGCAGTACTAATGAGGTGGCACGGATAGGCGGCACTGATAGACAGCACTAATTAGGGGTCACGGATAGGCGGCACTGATATGCAGCACTGATAGGCGGCACTGATAGGTGACACTGATGATGGGTACTGATAGACGGCACTGACTGGCATCACTTCTGGGCACTGACTGGCGGCACTGACTGGCACAACCCCTGGGCACTGACTGGTGGCAACTGACTGGCAGCACACTGCTGGGCTGCACTGGTGGGTGGCACTGGTGGACAGCACTGGTGGGTGGGCACAGGTGGGTGGCACTGGTGGGCACAGGTGGGTGGGCACAGGTGGGTGGCACTGCTGGGCACATGTAGGTGGCACTTCTTGGGCACAGGTAGGTGGCACTGCAGAGTGGCACAGGTGGGGGCACTGCTGGGCACAGGTGGGGGCACTGCTGGGCACAGGTGGGGGCACTGCTGGGAATGGTTGGGCGGGGCTAGTGGGGCGCACTGCTGATCGGAACTTGCGGGGTCATTGCTGGGCACCGATCATCAGGGCACTGATCATCAGTGCCCTGATGATCGGTGCCGATCCCCGCTCTGACAACTGCCGGTTCTCGGCAGTACTTTCTCACGATCTGACAGCGTGAGGAAAGTGCAGCCGAGAACCGGCACTTGCATTTCCCTGTGATCAGCGTGTCATTGGACACTGCTGATCACGTGGTAAAAGGCCGGTTCAACCACATCACGTAGTAAAAGGCCGGTGCATCACGTGATCAGCTGTGTCCGTAGGACACAGCCGATCACGGAGATCGCCGTTGTGCGCGCCCCCTGGGGGCGCAGAGGAGAGCGCGTTCTGGGAGGACGTCATATGACGTC